TTTAATTCAACTCTTAATTTATAATTTAGTAAATTCATGCATTCAAGACAATCGATAATCCACTTTTATTCAATATTATTTCCCAAGATATATTAAACCTATATTTAACATGATCCGATCATATTCCTAGTCTGAATTCATATGAAAAACATGCATTAATTCACAGGATTTATCACACATGATTGCAAATATCATAAATATTATTCCTAACACCTATTGTCCATGTGTTGATTTTACTGCGTTCTAGACTTATTATAAGTATTCTTATACTACAACAAGCAACTTACTATCTAATTGGTGATCAAGTAATTAAATAGTTCAATGGGAATACAAAATTAATCAAGAAAAAGTTATGAAGTACTAAATTAATTGTCTTGAATTAAAATAAAAAACAATAGAATTCATCATTCATCCAATAAAATGAGAAACTAGCCTAACATATTAATATATAAATTACAAGAAAAATATTAGAAAAATATCACCCGGATTATGAAAGAATACAAAAGATGTTGATCTTCAAGCCCAAAGTTGAATTTTTCAAAATCGTGATTTAATTAAACTTTAATTCCTTGCTATAACTTGATATCCTCTCTCAAAATATAATAGTTGACGCATTATTCTTGATAAATTTGATGAAATTATTGTGTATGAAGAGGTAAGAGAGAGACCCTTTCATTGCTGCCCATATCTTGTATTTATATGATGAAATTAGTCAAAATTCACATTCAAATTGTCTTCCAAAAGAGTTTAAATCAAATAAGGAAAGTTGCCTTCACGCACATAATTTTGTCTCTACACAACTTTCAGTATTTTGGTTATAACTTTCTCTTTCAGTATCCGATTTAGGTAATTCAAAATGTATTGGAAAGCTAGTTAAAAGAGTTACAATTCTTCTAGAAATACAATCTTTCCAATTCAAACGTTCTCCATCCGAAAAATGGGTCTTAAGTTGACCATAAATATTGAAAATATCTTATATGATTAAAAGTCGATTTATAATAATACTCCGATCATATCCCTTTCCTTTTTTACTCTAATTTGCATTCAATTGACTCCTATCAATCTTCATAGTATTTTTTGTGATCCAAATCAACCATTAGATATTTATACTTTGATCCTCATACTGTGAATTTGCTTCATTTTAGCCATTTTTCGTTCTTTTTTCCAATTATTCTTTGAAACATTAACTTTTCCTAATAAAAGCAATAAATAACAAATTAGGTACTTATCCGTTCAAAAAATAACAAAATATCATCATTTAGAATCTCAAATAAGTATAGAAACTACACTTGACAAAATTCATAGACATTGCCTGAACTACAAACTTGTTTGGCTACACATTGAAAATAGGATAATTTCATCCTCTAATGGAACATAAAGCAGGTTCACAAATAACATATCATACCCCAAAGGACACACCTGGAACCTATATAACTCTTAATCATGAACCTAATTTCCAGTGGCTGACCATGAAGGTAGAACTCTTCCACCATTGCATCCTACGTTTAAATCAGGGCCATTAACTTTGACAAAGAGGTCGTCATCGAAATCAATATCCTCATATAAATCACTGTAGGAAGGTTCTGTATAGTCGACTCTCTCCGAATCCTTGTTCTGCTTTTTCACAAACCTTTTTTTGGAGCGTGTATTGCTCTCAGTGAAGTCATTGTCAATTTCTGAATTCCCCTTCGGGACATCAGTCGACTGTCTTCTCTTCTTAGAATCTGTACTATCATTACTGCTGCTGCTATTTCTGTCTTTGTTGTATTCCCTTATGGTAGCTTCAATGGTTTCCAACACTCGATCTCCATATTTGGTTATTCTTCCCCTGAACCATTATGTCAATTAGCATCAGTAGGATTGTTAAAGCAGAGCTTTTACAGATGTCTACGACTTACTTGCCAATGCCGCTAATATCTTGAAGTTCACCTATAGTTCTGGGTATTCTGGTGCTGATCTGCTGTAATTGAGCATTTCTAGAAGAGGAAAGAGAAAAGATAGCAATAGTATGTTACAATGCTATCATGCTTTCAAACATAATTCCCAAATTGGATGAGCCCTTTAACCGGAAAATAATCACAATGTTTTGTTAAGCCAAAAAATGTAGAAGTAAAAGTACTTAAAAGTAATTTCGTAAGCTCAGACAAAAATTGTCACAAAAATTAAAATTATCTTTTGGTTAAAAAACTTGCTTTCCTAAAAGTAATTCTTTACTTACCAAAAGTAATTTTACCTTTCTTCAGGCTTCAAACATGATCATAGAAGTAAAAGGAAAAGAGAAGAAGATAAACATATAAACAAACCCGAAAATGTGGTGTGCACACGTGCCATCTCCAGCCTCCTTAATAAGAATATTTCTAAGCATACGCAGTGAAGAAAACAGTTTTGCCGATAATTTCTGTAAGGCACAAGAAAATAAATTTTGTAAAAATTCAAGTGAATATTACTATTAGGCTATTAAACGAAAATTTAGGAAAGAAAATATTCATCAATTATCATAAATGTACCAAATCAATTTCTGACTGAAGCCCCATAGAAGTACCCATCTGCAGGGGAATTTGCTTTCCTGACGTCAGTGAGCCTTTAGCTGGAGTAGCTTCTGATCGACCAGCTTTAACAGCTTTGAAGGAAGACGGAAATCTGCAAGAAATATTAAAATACCAGCCCAAAATGGAATCTCTCATCAGCATGTATCATTCAACAGAGAATTTGAATGATCTAACCACATTTTTGGCCATAAATGCAACTTGTATCAATGGCACTAAAAATGACTTTGCCTTCTAAGTTCTAATATTAGAAATATTCATCGGAAAATTAGCGTAGCTTCATGACAATAAAGCACGACCAAAAGAAATGGGAAAATTATAAAAGAAATATCAAAATGCAGATTTGAAAGGTGTCAAAATTATTTAGTCCAAAATTAAGCTATTAGATGTGGAAGAAACTTAGAAGCAAATTCAGTGACTAGGATAAGAATTTAGCATGGACAAATTGCTTTGAAATTGACAAAGCGTGGGTGGATAGCTGATATTTACTCCAAAACAAAAACAGAAAGGTTGGTAAGAATTGATCGATCATACTAATTTAAAGCAGTGACTAGGAAATAAAAGTCGACCTTTACATGCCTAGAAGTGTGGAATTTTTATAGCTATCTCGAACTGTATGAATATGTTTGCTTAATGCCCCATGAATATCCGACGGAAACTGCTTCTAGAGACATTGATGGTTGTAAATAGTGTAACGAGTGAATGAAAGATAATAGTCAAAGAGTAACATCAACTTTCATATAAATTAGAAGCAAAAAAGGAGCATCATTAATCATAAGAAATTGAACCTTAATTTAATTATCTGGCCACAAGCAAAAAGATTGTGCGCCTTGGATTCATTGACCTGAAGGTAAGAGGTCATCATGACATTCATGAGAGAAGAAGTTTTACTCTAGTTACAAGAGTTCTCAATGTTACATACTTTTAAGATAAAGAAAAATTCAAGATATAGCATGTTATACCTTTAAAACAGATGACACTGATCCATAAATATCACTTTTTTTCACCTCTTCCACAAGAATATCCTCAGTGACAAGGTAACGTAGCACACGGGACGCTTCGCCCTTGGCCAAATGTTTTCCAGCTCCATGCATGCTCAAGGTATTGTGTCGGTGTTTCTTAACCTATGTTTTTGTATTGGAGTAAAAGTTAATTGTTGAAAACATGAAAAGAGAACACTTTTAATCATTAGGACGTACAAATTGGCTTAAAGAACCCTTGTAGACTTCCAAGATATGTGATGATGAAAACTGTTGTCCTGTCATCTTCACCAATTCAACCTGTGCAGCACACAGTACAACCTTTTGTGAACTTGTGAAAATATCATATTGACATTTTACATCAAATAAAAGAGAGAATACTAGAAACAGATGTACGATAGAATATAGCGGAAAATCAAGAAGGAAAAATAGGACAAAGTAAAGATATGGAATTAAGGGAACCAGTTGCTTTGCAGGCTCAGTGACATTTTTCTCAATACAGTTTTGTGTCTTGGAGCAATTATCACATGTGCTCTGGCAGTTTAGCGAATCGAACTTTTCTCCAAAATGAAGAAGCTGTAGGAGACGTCGACAATCGACGTCATTTTCACAGTAGCTGACCTGGAAAAAGATTGTTGAATAATATTAACAAATGAGTGACTAACGTAATGGTAAAATGAGTTCTATCAGTACCATTCGCAGGACATTCTCAGTGTTTGTCTCCAATAAACTCCCTGAAGCTGATGTACTTGCACGATAGTATCCAGATGCAAAGGGAGTTTGCTCGACTACACCTTGACTAATCATATGTTTCACCCGAATCTGCAGAGAACCAGAAAGGAACGAGTGTTCAAAGAGGAAAATTGTCTACATATTAACTCAGTGGATGGATAAATCCAGATACCAATAATTCAGTGAAATCAGAGCCAAAAAATCAAAAATAAATAGAGTAACGAGAGTGGGCAGAAAGAGAAGACAGCATCTCATTTCAGAACTCACATAATCACTGTAACTGTAGTACAATACACAAGATGAAGGTTGACCATCTCTACCAGCACGACCACACTCCTACATGAAGAAGTTAAAATCTTATCAGATCATAAATTTTTCATCGCTGCCATACTAAAAGCATCATACAGCATTAAAAATGCAGAACGCTAAAGGACTATGCATTGTCAGATATTTACCTGATGGTAGCCTTCAATGGACTTTGGAAGGGAATGGTGAATGACAAACCGAACATCGGGCTTATTGATACCTAAAATACTCATGTTAGTACATAGAGTTATAGTTCCAAAGACAGAATAGAAGTGGGAAATATACCCATGCCAAATGCAATGGTTGCACATATTATGTTGATCTCGTCCTTGCTCCACTGTTTCTGGATTGTTGTGCGCTGAGCAGAATCCATGCTACCATGGTAAAAGGCTGCTTTATGTCCGTATTCCTGACAAACACATATGTCAATATTTAAATATCACAAAGAAGTTGATATTTTAAGTGTCAAGTTTAATATGAGCATGTCTCTTTATCAATATCATTGTCAAGAATTTTTTCTATTAGATCCTTCCAGCTATTTCTATCAAACCACCGACCAGATTTCAATTTAGATTCAAATGCAAATTTCAAGTGGCTGTGTTTCAAAATGAAAGTGTAAATCAATTTCTACAAATATGACTTGAAGGAACTCAAATGCTAAAATGGGAGAGAGGGACAAACTGTAGACGGAGGCAAATCTATAGCATAGCAGTCAGTCTTATCCCCCATGATCAAAGAAAATATTTATGGGATGTGTGTCTTTAATATGGAGTATAACTATATACTCCTTCATTCCAGTAAAGACAAAACTCATGTTGAGAATCTTGAGATGTTTTCATCACCAAGTTCAATGCGACCACCACGTTCCTTTAACCAGATGTAGTAAACTATCTTGGTTTATGATTTATAGGAGATCAGTTCCATGTAAACCCAAGTCAAAGTAAACAGTGTGAAATAGCCTCTAAACTAAGACAGCGTGAAATGGTTCGGGAACAATATATAATATCATAAATAATGATTGTGGATTTAAGCAACTAGAGAGGTTGTTACTCGTTACAATAAAAAGAAAGATAAAGAACACAAAGAAAAGAATCAGAAGTAGCACCATAAAAATGGTGCTTCTGTGGGATTCCAGATGAAAGATTTTGTATTTTGGAGGAAAAAAAAAACAAAAATAACAGTAGAGTGAGGACTGTTCATTGAGGGAAAGAGTTCTTTAATTCTAATTTGTGTAGGAATACATTTTCTGCAGTCTGAAAGTTCAAATCAAGTTTTCTGGCAAACAGGTTGCCTTTCCTTGGTTCTTCATACAAAAAATTTGTTTCTTTCTGAAAAAATTTAAACCAGTACTCCTGAGGAAGACAAGAACGTGAGGTTTCACATTGCAATGTGCAGCACGGAAAAAAGAGGTGACAATCTCATGATTTAGTGGAAAACAATATAGAAAGATTTCAAATATAGGTATGACCAGCCCATGCTGAATAATGGAGAGGCAGCACGGGTGTGGAGGATGGACCATCAGGTCCAACATTTTTATTTTTTTGGTTGATGCCTGAAAAGAAAAGGTCCGCATAGGTTGGAGAACCCGCTGGCCCAGCCTTTACACCTAATTTCTGCCGTTCAAGAAGGAACAACTGAGTTGATAACAGATTTACAGCCATTATATGAAAATTTAACTTAATGATATTGTATGACACTCGTAGGAGCTTAAGCAGAGTGAAAAATATTAAAAATTTCATTTAACTGGCTACCAAAATTTGAAATGTAAACTATAAGAAGTAGAAATGGCCTTTGAAATAAGGAGTGAAGAATAACATGACATTACATTTTCCATTACATTAAACAGCCTTCTCCATGGCAATTTGTTTCCAAAGAAATAAAATACAGTTGCAATTAAAAAAGCAAGGAGGTCAAGATAAGAGGGCTATGCTCCATAAGATTCAAGCAGTTAAGTAGAAACATGTTGAATGTAATTAAATAGGGTCATTATGTAAAAAAGAGGGGAAGTTTCATTTCTTTTTGACTATCGATAAACACCCATAAACATCCTAAAAAACTGAAATATACTTGTTATGAGTGCAGATAGATACAATGTTTTAATTATATTGATAAATAATTATTACAATTAAAACAAGGATTATTTCAACAGGTCTTTGTTACTGCAGCATCAATAATGCATTTGGAAAGGGAAATAAACGTCCTGAAAATTCAACAGAAAGAACTAAACCTGCAACTTTTCAGCAACTTTTTCACAATCCATTCTTGAAAGACAATAGATGATGCCACATTCATCAAAATGGTTGTCTTTTATAAATTTGTCAATGTCTTCCACGCACTTCTTTGTCTTGGGAACAACAGAATATCTGCAATATATGCATAGTAAGCCATTGAAATAGTCAGCAACATACGCCTTCACTTAGCACTTACCGTAAGTTTGGACGGTTAAAACTCTGCCGAAAAACAATGCAATTTACTAGTCCGAGAGCCTGCACAACATCTTCCTTGACACTAATGGTAGCAGTAGCAGTTAATGCTAGAACAGGTATAGTTGGAAATTTCTGTTTCAAGATACCAAGTCCCTGCATAGGTACCACCAAAAAGTTAAAACTAAACTCAAGGACCCTTCAAATCTAATTTATAGGAAACAAGTAAATAAAAATAAAATTTTCTAATACTAGAAAACCACATGAGTGATGCAGCATTCAACCCAAGGATCCCTCTAGCCAAAATCAATGAGGCATAATTCAGAGCTTCCAAACATAAAGAACCTTGTAATCAGGTCTAAAATCATGCCCCCATTGACTAACACAATGAGCTTCATCAATAACAATCCTAGCAAGAGATTCCCGAGCATGTAGACTTTCCAAGTGTCGCAGCAAAACATCGCTTCTGCATTAGCATAAATTATTATGGAAACCTATGAATTTACCATATGAGGACAAAGCAAGTACACATTTAAGCAGTTTCAAATTGCATCCAATTGATCTAATTATATTTCAGTCAGGAAATTTACACCATTATATGAATACCTTGTTCCAGTCATTCTCAAAGACAAATAGTAGATATATTGATTTCCAAATAACTTAATTAATCTTGCATGAAATAAAATGCACTCTAACAAATTATTGAGTTGATAACAACGGTAAGAAATTTCATAGGAGGGCTCATAAGACCATTGTTTAAAAAAAATAAAAATAAAAATAAAAAATAAACTATTGCCGAGGCGTTTGCCTTGCCTGATACAAGTAAAGCCCATTAGTACCCTATTAAGCCTTTTTAATCATTGTGTAAGACAAAACATATCTTTTCGAATGGTAGATTCCAATGAAGGATCCATTTCTTAAAAGTAAAATCATTAATCAAAATAGCGAAATTGAAGGCACAACCAAGCTCGTGGGTCATTTACACTTTTTAAAATGTGGAAACAGAATGATACATTCATCTACTTGCAGGTAACTTGGGAAGATTATACTCACTTAGCAACTTTCTCTGGGGTGACATACAACAGCTTGTATTTGCAGTAGTCTGAGCTAAGCTCTCTGAAAATCTCTTGCTGCTCGGTCCACTCCATATTGGCACTTAGATAAGCAGCAGGTATATTTGCCTTGGTTGTTGTTTAAGGGAAATAAGCAGCGCGTTAGGCTGAATGTTGCCAAAACTAAATGCAGTTATAGGTGTACCTAAACCAATTTGATGGACAAGATTACCTGCACTAAATGCATTATCTGATCTTGGATAAGAGAGACGAGAGGTGATATCACTAAAGTTATTCCAGGACATATCAGAGCAGGGAGCTACAAGAAGAAAGCACACGACACATCAAATGTCACTTCACAGGTACTGCATGAACTCCAATCAACAATTGATGAGTAACTAGACCTCCAACTTATGAGATGGGTAAAAGAATCAGACAACCCCTTAAAGTTCACGTATAATATGGAATACAAATAAATATGACGAAGCAAAAAAAGTGAAACTTTACTTCAGGGGAGCACAATTGAGAATGCACCCTTAAACATGATTGCGCAAATATATATAGTGTAATTGCTCCGTGACACATTATTCAACTCCAAGCATCTTTATTTCAGAAATGAAGAAACAGGAATAATTTTTTTACTCTAAAGCTTAGCACCATTAATGTAACTAACCATGGGCTAAATAAACTTCTATTTTCCATTTTTAATCTTTTTGCAAATCTTTACAAGAGCACCATTCATTTTCCATTAGGATTATACAATTGTGACCTCGTAGCTGAAGTAGAGGTCACCTTCTCTAAGTACAAGTTTAGTTCCCAAAACATAAAATTTCTTGCTACTATGGATCAAAGGCTAAGGTCAAAAGTAAAAACTAGCAGTAACCAAATAGGCCCCATTACCTCACCTCATTCCCAACATCCTAACAAGATCTAAAAATGAGGAAAGCAGAAAACAGATATAACTGAAAGCTCTCCTATTTCGTAATTGTGAATCTGGATAGAAAGAAAAGATAACAATCCTCTCACCTGGTAAGTCAGGCTTTTTCCTCCTCCTGTTGGCATTAAAACAAAAACATCATATCCACTCATGGTTGCATTAATCACCTCTCTTTGATTGGGGCGAAAGGAGTGATTTCCAAACACTTTTTTGTTGTTGGCCTGACAGTAGAATAGATGAGCAACAGATAAGAACATCGTCTAGTGAAAACTTAAAGTCAGGAATTATATCAAAAACAAACCTCTAGCTTCTTTGTCCAAGGAAAATCCCGACCACTCCACTTTTTGTCTATTGAACCCTCGATATAATTGATCTCGATATACTTAGGAACATATGGTTCTCTCTCAAGTGGAGCAGTTGAAACCCCAAACCTGTCAGTGGAATATGATGGAATGGATGATGAACCCCATCTATCAAAGCTACCCGACTCAGTGTTTACTTGAAACCGGTCATCAAGCCTTGTGGGGTCAATCCTAAATGGCACTGCTGGAGGGGTCTGAAAAGTCATAGAAGTTGCTGTGGATGAAGAAAAATGTGACATTTTCCTTTCCTCGTTGACTGATGTACTATGAAGATATTTCTCAAGATGTTGAATTTGTTTATTCAACTGCTGCCTAGCAGTAAGATAAAAATATCATTAATTTCAGATTATTTAGCCTACCTCAAAGAAGAAAGTAAATGCAGCAAATCAATTAGAGAAGGAATAGGAAAAAGGGACATGTTATAATACTAAATATTACTGAACATATTAGCTTTACTATCAACCCCCACTTTATTTAATGTATTGTACAGATTTTTTAGATGCAAAACAAATCCACCCTTGCCTATGTGATAAAAATAACATTATGAAAAGGCAGAAAAGGGTTCGGAGAGATAAGCAAACCTTTCTTGACGAAGCTTCTCAAATTCATCTGAACTCAAATTATCAGAATTATCTATGATATCATTTGATATGGCTATTAGCTTATCCTTCATATCTTTTAGGTGATTTGAAGCTTCGGGACAAAGTCCTAGCTGTACCAATATCAGGAATGGCATAAGGATTTGGGAGTAAACTTTGAATATCACAACAAATAGGTAAGAAAAAATTTGTACCTTACAATTGTGACTGCAATTCAGGCACAACTCTGGAGGCAAAATTGCTTCCTCATGTTCAGAAAATTTTTCTTTATTTACATTTGGAGTAACCTCTGGAAGTTCGGAGGTTGATGGTTGAGGTGTAGAAGTTGATTGAAAATGATCCATAACTATTTGGTCCACGTCGATATTCTGTTGAAAACAGTTATTTACTCAACTGGTATTCCTAGCCAAACGCTAATCTATCTTGATTGAGAACAATAATACGTTATAAAAACACCAATTGAGCAACATATTTCACACATTCGTTTATCAGTTATGACATTGCACCAAATAACGGACAATATTGTTAAAATCCTCCATGCTCAATCATTATAATCCAACGTGTTACAAAACACATCAAACAAGTATGACCCAGTTGAAGACGAAAATCCACTTACCTATCTGCTTTCACTGTCTATATTGCGAGTTTCACGAATTACCTCAAGTATGTCATCATCATCATCAATGACATCAGTATAAGGGGCGTTGGACCCGTTCCTTGCAATTGTGCACATGGAAGAATTGCTAGTAACTCCGTTCCCAGTTTGTGCATTAAAATTATCACTTGCCAATGAGTATGAAGCATTCCGCCTGCTCGTAACCATTCTAACTTTCTCAACCTCAGAATTGCAGGTTGAAAAAGAAGTGTTCAAACATCTGCTGGAATCACCAATTTGCTCATCACCTCCGCTAAAACTTTGATGCATTTGGACAAGTCCTGAGGACAATCTTTTCAAGTCAGACGAGCATTGTTGAGTAGCTTGTCTTGAGTCTTGAAAAGAAAACGAACTAACATTGTTAGTTAAAGGAACAGATTGTCCAGGTTTAGTGTAGCTTTTCGAAGATAGCTGAAGGCTAGAAAGAAGCTGCCATGCCTGCCAATATTTCACATTCCATCAGAATGCTTATTATTGCTTCCTATGAATATGGAAAACAAGTTGAGAGCAATAAAGTAGATTGCTCCTGGTTAACAGTTCAGTACAAAGAGCATGCTCAATACTGAAAATGATATTTCTTTGTCATCAAAGGTTTAGCAAATGCTGAGATGGAAAATGTAAATCAAAAATACCATGTAATTGACACTTAAGGAAAATAAATAACCCAATAACTAGAAGTGCTTATGTATCGACTGGAGAGAAAAGGAGGATAAAAAATTTCCTCTCAAGTTATTGGTTTATTTTGACTGAATTGGAGTTAAGCCAACTATCTTTAGTCTATATTGCTTGGCATACTCCTGGACCAATGGGGATAAATAGCATTCAAGGTCCACATCGAAACAGACCTCATCATTCAAAGTGCATGTTCGAGAGGAGAAAAGGCTTTGTACACAGCCTCAAGACGAATTTATACAGCCTCACCTCAGAAAGAACAAAAATAAAAAAACATGATAACATAAAACTTTGATCACAAAAACCTGATGGAGAGGCTAATGGCAGACTTAAGCAAGGAAAAACTCTCGAAACATAAGTAAAGATGGCTGCCTATAATATGCAGCACAACCTAAAAGTTAATAAAGTAATTAACATTAGCATTTGTCAACAGCCCGGTTATGAAGCACTAAACTGAAAGTTTGAAGAGAAAATAAACAAAAAATAATGAGGATGCTAGGGCCTTTGGGTAATTCTTAGAATGAATCAAGAGGAACCAGGAAATGTATTAGTGCCCATGACCAGTATTTAAAATACTTCACCTTTTCAACTTGAGCATTGTGCAACCTTACATTCTGAACTTGAAAAACCCCAGACCTGAAAACATAAGGGAAGAAACAATGTGAAATACCAAGTCATCTTCACTCAATTAAATAATCGAATAATTATAGTCAGCCCACAAATATTCAACTTTTTGTTTGTTTTCTCTAGACATGATAGTTAATGACAATAAAGGTGAGAAAACCGGAATCCATAATCCCTTTCTTGAATTTTATTTATGGCTAACAACCATGAGACGAGCTTCACAAACTAAAATACCTTTTATCATATACAGGACATTTTGTGTAAAGAACAAGAGGTTTTTATGAAGTATATGTAGAAATATCAATTTCCTACCTAAATAGGATTAAATGCAGCATACCTCATGCTCATCGTCTCATCAATTCGAGGTTTTTGAGTTGACAAGGAAAAAAGGAAGTTGGAACTCAAATACTTGTCCTGGCACAAAAAATTATTGTGTGCATTGGCATGCTGCAACCAATTGATTTTTGGCAATTTGTTGGCAGATTTGAAATCGTCTTCTAAATTACGTCCCCTGCACCCAAGAATTATGCAACAGTCCAAAGTTAGAAAGAGGGTACAAATCTATATAAAGAAAGAACTAGAAATCAAATGAAAGCCACAAGCTTCGTCCTCGCCTCATGTAGTTTTCCTTCATCATTAATCAACATGGTCCTGAAGTTTTCTGAGTGATCCCCTTCATAGAAAAACACACAATCATCAACCTGAGTGTGATCTACAATTGAGAAGACATTTACTATAAGTTAAAAACTAAAAAATAAATAATGTAGATGTAGATATACCAAGAAAATAAAAAATAAAAAATAAATTAACTCTCAGGAATGGAAGAATAAAATAAACCAGTCTTGATAACTTTCAAAATGATATGAGTAAGGGTCACAATAGTCCAAGCAGTAGGTACTCCCTATGTTGTTGCACTGCTCAAAACTGTATTAAGATTTCTGTCATTATCAACTAAAAAAATGGTGGTGCTCAACTAAAAACTGCGTTAAGATTTCTTCCTCTATAACTAATAGAATGGTGGTGCTATGTGTTGCACATCAGATCTAAGTAAAAATTATAAACACAAGAACATTAATTCCTGCCTACCATGTGGGTTATTTCCAGAGGCCTTGTTAATTTTCATCACCTGGCCCGTTAAAGCATCAGATGTGCCAGAACTATAGTTGCAAAACACCTACGGATATAAACTACACAAGGACATAAGCATTTTCAAATGGAACTACATATTACTCCTGAACATTGCCTCAGTAGAAGCAAACCCAACTAATACGCAAGCCTATCTCCCAAAATAATCAAATCAAAGCGAAAGTGCCTTGTGGCTGTCACGCCTCTCTCTCTCTCTCTCTCTCTGTGTACCTTTCTTGCAGCAAGGTGTTCAGTCCAAGAGTGCTGAAGAAAAGAAAAGAGAAATTAATAAAAACCTTTCCGATTCGGTCACTGAGCAATTGGACGACTCTTCAGTAACTTAGGATGCAGGATGACCCAATTCCTTCGATGTTGTATACCCCCTACATCCTTCGGAAGTGGAAGAAAGGGTACTACGAATTTCTATTTATATATATTAGGGCCCCAGAAAGCCAAAGGGTGGGGGAACAAGAGTCTCCATTGCCCAAGGCAAGGCCAGTTCTATCCTCTTTCACAGTTTTCTGTAACATTGTATCATTAAGATCAATTTTCCTATACGAGGCGTGAAAGCACTATCAGTTAGTTGACTACCAAAAGAAAGTCCTACCGTTCAATCAAAGTACGAACATCGAAGGATCTCTTTCCAGGCAACTTTCAAGCAGCAACCAGGCATAGGATAACGAGATCATTCCTTTTTAATGCAGGGGGTACGGTATCGCCATTCTTGCAGTGCTAATTCCTGAAGACCTGATTGGAATGGGGGAGTCATAGGAACGCTCGTATAGTCAACAATCATTCCCCATTCTTCTATCCCTTCTTTCAGAAAATCTGCTAGTAATCATTATTAGTGATTTCTCTTTTGCAATTTGCAAAAACTTGTCTGTTTAATATAGCATCCGAAAGACCACTAAAAGTTGTTTCCCAAACCACAACAGGAATCAAAGCTCATTGGTAAATCTTCATGATGCTAACGTGTTGTTTAATAGAAGCATGGGCAACGATGAATTCATCTAAATATTTCCTTCAACTTGTATTGGGATTGGCCATGACTTTAAGTGATTCTCATTGATAATAATATAAATGTCAGATAAGGAGATTTGTGTTCCTAAATGATTTTTTTTCCCATTCTTCCCAGTTCCTGGAAATTTGCAGTTAAATTAGTTGAATAATCTTAGAAAAGAGCAGTTTCTCCTCCTTAACTTCTAATGTTTATAGAGACATCGATCTTCATGTCAAGTCAAGATTATCCAATTGTAATAAATTTTTCTTGCAAAAAGATATCATCAATCATATCAAATATAAGTCCTCGTCTCCTTTTTGTACCGTTAATTCTGTGCCACTTCTAAAGAATTGACAACAGCGGAGAAGGATCATGAATTGAGAATTTGACATGTTAACTGAAAGCTACTTTTAAACTGACCTTCGAAATATCAATCAGGCCCTAACCATTCCCAATCAGGTACTTCCACTACTCTTATTACTTCCTTCCATAAACTTAACCTTGAGATAAGTTTAAGGCCAACACCCTGTTGCGAATAAGGTTACAAATTCCTAGCTATCACTAATATTGACCATTTACTACCATAATACTAATATGGATAAGTAGAATCATTAACAGAAAATCCCAAAAACATTTCTTCTCCAAATGAAAGATGAATCACAGAATCAAACCATGATTTCAGTTTAGTAATGTCAGCCTTGCTATAGTAATTACTAATCAAGGATAAATGTGGAACCCGTAGGGTTTACTGCTACAACACGTAGTTTATATCAGACAGTAAATTATTATAAAAATGAAAACAATAAAAACGAAGGATTCTCCTTAGCTCCGCAACAAATTAATTGACCATTATGACCCAAATTCTAATCAGGTGAAAATTCTTGTCTAGACAAACCTAGCATTTGTGAATCGAAATTGTATTTCTTATTTTATTTTTACGAATTATGATCTAAAAATCTCTAAATCCGTCCAAAAAATGAGAGTTTTCCTCATTGACAGACAGTATAATCAGACGATAGAGCTTAGAAACAATGAAATTATGTATGCACACTACAGACTTGCAATCGACATCTAAACTTCATTCGAGTGGATAGTATTTTCAAAAATTGATTAAAAAAAGTGCGAAATAACTAAAACTTTAAAATTCCATTTACCGTTGATTATCCAATCAGAATGCCCTCGTAAATGAAATGCTGCCTACTTGCCACTGAAATTTAAACATTCAATTTAGATATAGACATAGAATATTATGTTAAGGATGTACGAGTGAGAGAGAGAATAGAAGTGAAGCTTCAAATCGTAGCGCGGGTTTGAATGGCGGGATAATATTACCAAAAGTGATAATTTAGGGCAGGCCGCTGAAATGATACAGGTTGGGCCTATAAATGTTACCGTTCTTACCCAAACATTGAAGCCCACTTATTCATACTGAGCTAAACAGATATACTACGGTGAATGGAAATTAACCCCAGTCTGGTTTAGATAAAAAAAAATTAAAAATAAATTTTAATAAAAGTTATGAAATTGTAAGAATGACAAGTTGTGGTTTTCATAAATTATCAAATTTGACTTAAATTTTAATCAACTTCTTTTAGCTAAACCAAATGGGAACTAAATTAGAAAATATCATTACTATAATAATTTTAAGGATAAAATTATAAAACTAAAAAAATTGTAAAAATAAAAAATCAGGTGGTATGTGACTTGTGAATTGTTTGTTACCCGAAAGAATCTCAACTGAGATTTTGATAGATTTTAAAATACTATAAATTGTAATGAATTTCATGTATTTGAATATTTTTTTCACAAAATTCATAAGAATCCTATTAAAAATGGTGAAATTTGAAAATGATTTGTTATGTGTATTTTTAAGTTTAAAATTTCTCTATTAATGAAATTATATATATAAATCTGTGAAATATTGATAATAACTAAATTTTAATGAATTTCCTTAAAATCCATTAAATTCTCAGTTGGGAACACCTAAATTTTAGTAGAGTTCATTAAAATCTCAATGGAGACACCTGAATTTAAAAGAATTTCCAGAATCCATTAAAAACTCAGTTGAGAACATCCCTGACGTATTATGTACAAAATCATTTATTAGAACCAGTTCACAAGTCACATACCACCTAATTTTTTTTAAAAAGTTAAGGCCTAATTAATGAAATTGAAACTTAAAAACATGATTTCATGTAATCTTCTTAAATTGAAATCTACTAACTTGTTTAAATTAAATCTACAAATATCAATTCAAATAGTTTTGCCTTATTCATAATCAACAAAACTGTTTCAACTAGAATTCCTAAAATATCTCCTTGATTTTAATTAAGGTGTGTTTGTAAAGTAATGTGTCAAGATATATTCATGACAATATACTTATTGTTGTTCTAGAAATTGGAAAACATCATGTGTACACCATGAGGTGCACACAATGAATTATACCCCTCTTACATGGAGAAGTCCCGTGAACATTTTATTATAAAAAATGTTATGTGTACACAATGCATTACACTCCTCTCACATGAAGGAAGGCTCACAAATATTTCATTGTATATGGGTCACATTCATATGAGGAGGGTGTAATGCTAATGGTACATTATGCATACATAGCATTTTTCTTTTAGCCCCTGTTTAATCCCCATTATGTAGAAAAATAAATGGGGGGAATAGTATTTTTTTTTTAAAATGAGTAGTTGAAAAAGAATGAAAAGTTTTCGATTTACGTGTAATATTATTTTATGAAAGATTGTGTGGTTGAAAATAGGAGAAAGAAAAATGAAATATAATAGAATTTAATGTAATGGGGCTCAAACAGGGGCTTATTATATGTGGGTCCCTCTCTATATGAGGTGGTGTAATATTGTATATACATCATTGTATACACATAGCATTGTTCATAAAAATTAGTCCAAACCAATCAATTCATTCGGTAAAATCCAGAAATGTGTAGAGATATGGGCTAGTTAGACGAAGAAGAAAACTATTAATTAAAAGGCGACATTTTCTCCAATTTCCTCGTTAAAGGATCATAACATTGTATCAGCCTTTCGTTTTAATTTCCATGTAGTAGTGAATTTAGCGGTTACAAACTCGCGATTAAGCCAATTGGGGGAATAGGATTCTAGAGTTCTAGTTCCATAACTTTTTCAAGCATAAAAGCGGTCATTGTCAACTAATCAATCAATGTAAGGACCTTACTAAATGTCTATTAACGTTTATATAAGTGATTATATAGGGTATGTTTGGTAGTAATTTTGAAAATTAATTTTTTTATCGCTATAAAAAAAAGATCACATTTGTGAGTGAAAAAGTTAAAAATAACTGCTGACTTAAGGAAGTAATAGTCAAAATCTTGATTTTTTATGTGTGAAAATTCAGAACCAAATAGGGATATATCTTACACGATACTTTATCATTTGCCAAATTTTTGTCCAGTCTTCTCCTTCCACATCATTTTCGACAACTACTTGTGTGTCTTTTTATGTACAAGTAACAAAATTCTTAATAAAAATATTAATTAATGAAATGACATGATTTTTTTGTCGAAGCGGTGGTGGTGGACTGTAGGGTGAATTGGATTGTAGGATGGTTGGAGAAAAACACTTTTTCCCCCCCTTTTTTTTTCCTTTTTAGTCAATTGTTTTTTAAACGTTTTGTGATTTATTTGTTCATTTTGAAAAGATTTAGGGCTTTTATTGTAATTTTCTTTTTATTTTCTCATCTAGCTCCAATGAAAATTAATCTAAGATAAAGTTAATAATTAATTTTGTCCACATATTTAATCATATCCGTTCATCAACTTTTATTAAAAAAAAAACTCTTAGAACCCGTTTGGTGCACATTATTTGGAAAAATAATACATTTTTTCAATCAAATCAGTCTACAATTTTTGACTTCAACACTCTAAGGTAGAACCCATGATGTGATGTTTAAAATGTATTTTTGTTGAAAAAATGTGGAACAAACGGGCTCTTAAAAATCTTATTTTGGCCTTGTTTGAGTCCCATTATTTCCTCATTAAAATGAAAAATATGACCGTTATCCATCACATCAAGTCACCATATTTGAATTTTTATCTCTTATGTAGGGCTTATAATAATTATATTTTTCATTATTATTTTTACAATAATGTGGTTTAAACAGGGGCTTTATCTACAACAAATAGAGGCTTTTATTTATTTATTTAAATATGAGGACAATCGTCATATTATGTAGATTTCACGGCAAAAATCGATGAAGAAAGTTGATTTACAATTAAGGGAAACGTTCAAATGTTTGGTGCTAAAAAAAAATATCGAGGATAATTTATAAATGCAATGGTTGAGGATAAAAGTGCAAATTTCCCTGTAAGAAACCCTAATATTGTTGATGATGAAATCTATATATTTTCTTCTTTCCAGATCTTTGATCATCTAATTCTGACCAAAAACAACATTAACAATCATGCCATTTTTGTTTTAAGGCTTCCTCCATTAAACTCAATGCTCGGAGCTTATATCAGTTAACACGTTGGAGTCGCAGGCGGATAATTCAATGCAACAACTGGCCGAGGCGGCGTTGATGAAGAAGGAGGAGGAGCGGCAGCATCCAGATTGTTGTCATGTTGTAATCTGAGTGGTCGGCGACAGCGGGGTGGAGGAATCTCCATCTCGACCTTCCGGTGGGAGTTCCTGAGGCAGTACTTACAGGCGGCGCATTGGAATGACTCGGGTGTTCCATCGGCTCCAGTTGATGTAAATTCCCCACAGCCGTCAACTGCAAAGCCGCCATGTGGTGCTGCATGGTTATGCAAAAACGCCATGTACATTACAAGAACTACGGGTCTACGCCTTACCCACTCTTTGTTTCGCCGCCATGGAAATGCAATAAAGCTGAATTCTATTGAAAGTGAAAGTTAAGTAGAGGGGAAGGAGACAAGGTAATTTAAAGAAGTCGGTAACACACACAATTAATTGAATACGCAAATGATATTGCTTTATCTTGAGATGTCTACTAAAATTAATTGACATTCAAGAAGTTGACTTTAATTTATCGAATGAATAATGATAAATGCTGACAATTATCGTGAAATTTCTTGATTTGAGAATATATAATGATCCACTCATCAAGATAAGATTTAATGTAGTCCATGTTTGGTTCAATTAAAAAATTAGATTAAAATTTAAATTAAAGTCAACAATTAATTTTAATTAGACCCTACTCTTAAATGACACATTCCATCAGTTTTTATTAAAATTTATATAGACCAAACAGTAATTATTATTATTGCTATTGTTGTGATGGTGGTGGTGATAGCATATAAGACAATTTGATGCTATACAATGTCATGCTTGCAATAGAGAATATTTCACCCAAATTCGAAGTCCATTCTTCCTTGTAGTCACAAGGCAAATATACATCGATTTCCGAGGAAAAAAAAAAGAAAAAAGAAGAAGATGTCAGTAGTAATCATTTATGTGATGTCATCAATACAATTGTCGGAATCAAAGTCTGCACTTTGGCACAAGCGACAAATTCTTGGTGACATTTGTTGAAAAGTTGCTAACAATGACCGACAATAAGATTTAAATGATAAGTGACACGTTTCCAATCAGAGTTTTTAGATACTGTATCAATAGTTAGATTTCCAATTATTGATGACAGATAATAATACGAGTAATGACCGTTACCTACTAAAACAGTTATAGATTTTCTAGTTTACCGTTTCATCTTGAATTTCATATTAAATTATGTGATCTAGTGTTTATACCAAAAATAAAACATAAAAATACACCCTTGCAAAAGTTATGAGCCAATCAAGTACTAACTAATATCAAATCATCTTGAATTTCAAAATGTGTAGTAGTGTTTACCAACACAAAATTAACATAGGTTTTGAACTTTTTATTTTTTAACCTATATTTGATCAATATAAAGATTAATTTCATTTACAAACCAATAAAGAGTGACACAATCTCTTATAACCATGAAGTATTGTAATTTATCTAGAATCTGCTATAACCATCTGAAAGCTCATTGGTAAGTCAAAATTATATAGAAAAATTTAATAATCTAAATTATATAACAAATTTTACATTAATTACCAGCGGAGGCTCTCGTGCTAGGCCAATTATGAAAATCATATGCGATTAGTACAAAATGGGAATAAATTGAACCTTTATTAAATGTTTGAATATACTTATTGGTAATAATTCTAATAATTATTAACATCTCGGGTGTTAATGAGATTCAGGGCCTCGTTTTTTCTTCTCGTATCGAAGTCAAAAATTATCTCCATTGCAACCAGACAATTAAATTCCATATCTGAAAGGAAAAAAAATTTAAAAAAAAATGAGAAATTCGATTTTGATTATCGATTTAATTTGCTCTTTAATTTTTCTGATTTTTTTTTTTCAGGAACAGTGCCTAATTGAAAAGTTTGGATAATGTATATGTATATAGAGAAAGAGATCTGAAAAACGCCATGATCGAAGAACAAAGCAAAATGAAATTATATAGACATATATTTCTTCTCGATAAAACGGTAAACCCTAGCGGAACATTTATTAATTTTTCTTTTCAGATCTTAATCTGAAATTATCACAAACAACAGCATTTATCATTCAACTCTCGGAGCTTGATTCACTCGATGCTGGACTCGGAAGCTGATAATTCATTTCAACAGCCGGCTCCGGAGGAGGTAAATCAGCTGCTGGATTGGCACGAAGGGCGGCTCTGGCTGCTCGGCGGCGGGGTGGTGGTGGTGGTGGTGGAATCTCCATCACAAGCCTCTGGTGGAAGTTCCGATGGCAGTTACATGCTGCACACAGTAGTTCTCCCGGAGTTCCAGCGCTTCCGGTTGGTATAAATTCTCCGCAGCCGTCAAGCGCATAACCCCCAAGCGTTGCTGCATGGTTCCGCATACACGCAGTGTACACCACCAAAACTACAGGTATGCCCCTGCCCCTGCCCCTACCCCTCCCAACTCTTGGTTGAGCCGCCATGGATATTAAACGAGAGAAAGCTAAACTCTTTGGAACTAAAGTTAATAACTCTGGATGGAAAGAAGGTGAGATATAAAAGCTGGTATCACACACTACTACGTGGCATTGGTTGGATTGGATCGATTTTTAATCTCAATCCAAACTCAGCCTGACATCGAAGATTTAATATGAAATCAACCCAATTCTTATGTTGTGAAACCCAACCCAATCCAACCAAGTCAGACTGGGTTGTTCGGTTTGGGCTTGAGCCCATATGTAAGAACTTGTTGAAAACGTAAGAGACTACAATAAAAGCCCGTTAACACACCGAAAAAAATTGCATTGAGAAACCTATTAAGCTTGTTATAAAAACCTGATATCTAAATTTATTTTAAATTATACATTCTCCAATAAAATAATTTTACATGTAAATTCAAAACTTTTCATTATTTTTTAATCACACATTATTTAACAAAACACTATTCTAAAATGCATCCAAATATGAGGCTTAAACAAGGAAAAAACAACATATAAGAATCTGTTTAACACTGATTCAAAAAAAATCGCTGTTAAAAACATGTTAAACACTATATATATATATATATATATATATATATATAATCAACAATCATTCATTCAAATAAAAACAAAAACCATTCAACTAAAAGCAACTAAAATCATTCAAATAAAAATCAGCACAGTCATCCAAGCATCCATCAAAATAATAATTCAACAACGAATTAATATTTCATCCCTAAATCAATCGTCCCAAAGTCTCAAAGTGCACTTGTGCAGTCCTACAACAAAACAAAACAAATGATATTCTTAGAAAACGGAATGACCAAATCTTTTAAGGGTAACTTACAAAAATGCCCTTAAAATTAGAGGTATTTTGAAAAATCATATAAAAAAAATTTTTGAAATAAAAGATACTATGTAAAATTAAAAAGTGACACAATGTCACTTTTTTATAAAAATTGTCACTTTTTCACATTTCAAAAAAAAAAAAAAGTAACACAAACTCAAAAAAGTGACAAAATTCAAAATAAGTGACACACTCAAAAAGTGACAAAATAAAAAAAAAAAGTGACAAACACCAAAATAACACCATTCATTTGTGCAGTACTAGTAATCATGTTCTTAACATATCCAACATGTCTATGACAATTCATATACTAATTATGTTAGGAAAATATTACATACCATGTCACTTTTTTAAGAATATATAAAAGTGACAAAATATTAAAAAAAATGTTTTTTGAAAATAAAAAATAGTGTAAAATTAAAGAGTGATACAATGTCACTTTTTTACACAATTCAGAAAAAATGGACACACTCAAAAAATGTGATACAAACTAAAAGAAAAATTGACAAACACCAAATTTTTAGGAACATTTGAATATCACACTAAATTTACAGAAGCCAAATCCCACCAAAATCACATAACCCGAATCAAACTTTTGTGTGTGTGTGTGTGTGTTCACTCAGATTCCAAGTTCATATTCATCAAATAAATTTTTTGGGCCGAATATAGGTTGGGCAATTCCAACTTTATCATTTGTTCTCGAATTTATACAACTGGTGAGTTGAAGAGCACATGAAGTGATCGAAAACTTCTGGTGATGATGAATAAGAGGTAGGCGACGACCGGTAGAGAAGAGAAAAATGCGGCTACCCAACGGAGGAGGTGATTGTGGAAAGAAGTGGAGTTTTGCGGAGTTTGGTTAACATCATTTGACTGTGAGGTAACTGGATGGTGGTCGAGGTGGACGAAGGAAGAATGAGGGAGGGAGTGGTGGTAGAGGATAGAGAGGAATGAAGATGAAGATAGATTGCCCATAAAAAATGAGGAGAGACTATCATCATTATTTCCTCTGTGCCTCCAATCTGCTCCGGGTATGGGTTTGGACGTAAATAATACGTGATTTATAGTTTTAATTACTTTTAAGGTATTAATCAAATATCTCATTTTTTAGGGGTAGTGGATCTAATTTCCCCATCTTTTAATAAAAAGTTAGTAAATTATACATTAACATATCTATCTGAAAACTAGTAAAATGAAAGAATCACTTAACATTTGGCCCTTGTCCATCTTCACTTAGTTTTGGGTTCGTTGGTTCTAAAAGTTCTACCAAAAAAAAAAGGGCAATTACGTTAACAAAGAACATAGAAATAAGTCAACATAACAAAATTTATGGAAAATATATTCGTTTTACAATGTTTCAGTAGATATGTTAATCTAATATCTACTGATTTTTATTAAAAATTGGCTCATTGTGTTTCCTAAGAATTTCATTTCTTTTGTTGCTGGAATGCAGGAGTACACGTGTCACTAATAAAAAAAAAAAGGATTCAGGTACATACAATGTTTCAGTAGATATGTTAATCTAATATCTACTGATTTTTATTAAAAATTGGCTCATTGTGTTTCCTAAGAATTTCATTTCTTTTGTTGCTGGAATGCAGGAGTACACGTGTCACTAATAAAAAAAAAAGGCTTCAGGCACAAATCTTTCGTTCCTGAAATCACGATATCCGTTACTATTACTTTTTACTGACGAAATATTAGCAACCACAAATCCATTGTTAATTTGAAAGTTACTGATAGTTACTAACGGATCGCGTTGTAGGTAAAGAGTAAACATTTTACTAACGAATTTTATATTGATAAAGTGTGAACCTTTTAAGAAAAGAAATTCCGTTGATAAAAATCTTAATCATTACCAACTGACTTTCCATTAGTGAATGTCTACCATTACATTCGGTAAAAATTAATGTTGTAAATAGCCGCATAGGTGTGAAGCATGACAAAAAAAAAATCATCTATTTTTTATCATTGTTATTATTATATATTTAATATTATAAAATTTTTAAATTTTAGCCAATTGAATTGAAAGGCCCGAAAAGTTGTTTAATTACTTATTGGACCACTAATTTATAGATGGCATCTCCAAATACTTTTGATGTGGGATAAGAGTTTCTTTGGTTAGGTTGTATTGTATTGTACTTTTAGTTTGACTGTAATGTATTGTCTATTGTACAAATAGTTTTTTTATATTTTATTAACCTTCAATCATGGATATTCGGTAGGAAAATGTATGAAATTTTTAACTGTTAAAATTGTTTAATATTAGCAACTTCAATTCAGTTGGTAATATGAACTACTCTTCACCCACGAAAAATTTGTAGATGAAAGGTTGACACAGTTTTTAGAAAAAAAAAATATCAAATTACATCACATACGAATATGCTTTTGGCTCATAGAACACTAAAGGAAGCGACCTGACTCCTGGGTAGGAGGCAGGAGCGTAGGAGCTAAGGACTTTGGGTTTTTCTTTAATTATCTCTTGTTCCTTCGGTACTTAGAGAGTTCTAATGAGTTATTCCGCCCCGACCTACGCGTATTAAACAACAAACATTAGGCATGGAGTATCCATTGTTGAAAAGCTGATTTTTGTGTGAGACTTTTGGAACTATTGATTTAGGGACGAAATTGTTGGGCATATTGTTGTCAAACGATTTCTCAGGCAATTATGTAACTCGGTATAATTTTTCCTATCGGCATCGACCAAATGATTGAATTAAAAGTTTACACCTCAATAAAACTGCCCAATCTTAAAACCATTTGGACCGTTAAAAGAAGCCTAATTTAATTTATGCTGTGCATGGCCCAGTTCTCGACTTCTTGGACGACTTATAGGTGACAACCTATTTAGTGACATGTGTTGACCCAAGTACCTATTACATTGGGCTTGGCCCATCATTGTACCCTAGTATGTATGTTATATTTATGGCTCTCCTTTTTGTTTGTCTTAGCCATGTGTGCTTTTGCAACCTCTTTCTCTCTTCTTGGTGATTCCAGCATCGTTTCGTGCTTCTCTTCGCTATGCCCTCTTGACCTCCTTCCTTGGCCTGTGTGGCTTACTATTGTGGCTGCAATAACCACCTATTGTATGTCTTTAGTGGGCAACATCAAGTAAATGAAGGGAGATTCCTTCGTGGTTCAATTTTTGGGTCGACTTCATTGAAATGTTGATTATTGGATTCAATACTGAGCCTGAAAAGTACCATTAGTGATCGAGACTTCCACTATATGTAGTATCAGAGCTTGGTGTGAGATTTTTTGACCAAAAGATCAACTGAAACCCGTTTGGATCAAAAATCTTTTGAAGAGGCCAAACCTACAATCTCGATTTCTGGCTAAACAGAGAAGCTTTTAGGTAAATGGAGGCCTGTACAGATGGAGGAGCCACTGGGTATGTGGTGCATGACCATGACGACAGCCAAGGATGGTTGCCCGTGGTGGCGCATTAAGCAAAATCTAGAGAAGCTTCCTTTGGACAATTTGCTCGTTTTATCATTGTGAACATGCTTATATCTTTAATTTTGTGTTTCAGGTTATATAGTGAATTTTGGATTGTTTTCCCACAAGATGCTTGGTTTGTGGTATTTGGTAAATAGCGTTGGTATATTTGTTGAAATTTTAGGGTAAATAGTGGTGACTCTAAAGCAGCAGATTCGTACTCTTGATTCTACGGACCTTCATAAGTGGTCTACTACGGTAAATTAGCTTATCTTGGTTAAATTTCAACATTAGCGCATCATCGTATGGGATGACAATATGATTGGAGTTATCGTGTAGGGTAATCGTTGCTTATGCTAGAAATTAGAAATTACTTTCTCTAACATGATTGAATTATCTATTTTGATAAAAGTCAGTTTATTATCTATATGATATACTTTGTGTGAAATTGCTTGATTGATATATCTTTTTGTTGCACCATTAATTCATTATAATACCTTGACTTTACTTGTTTGAACATTCACTTGATCTAAGATTCGAATCTTAGAAAATCCTGAGTATCTAAAATGATATATATTGTCTACAATCCTATGACTACCTTATATGGCTTAATTGTGATTCTGTGCATTTTTTATTCACACGAAAAAAATGACAACTCGCAACTTTGATTTGGAAATTTTTAACGAAAAATGTTATTTTTCAATATGGCAACAAAAAT